GATTTAATTTATGGTGAAAATCATAACTTCAGTTCATAATTCTATCAGAACTTTAAAAATGATAAATAATAATTTTATTTGAGAAAAATAATTTAAAAAATTCATTTCATCCCCCTCAAAATTAAGCATAAAATTCTTTTGTTATATTTAAATGTGTCAAGAGCTGGCTCCCCACATATCACCAGCACAATTTGTGGTCAGGATAGATGTTGGTTTGCTGTTTACCATTGTAAGGTAAAAAGTACCATATCACAAAGTGTTGGCCATGTCTGGGAGGGCAAAGGTGAGAAGGTAAGGGTAGAATTTATTATAGATGGGAAATTTGGTTTAAGCTTGCTCTTTCAATGTGAGGACTTGATTAGGACTGTGTATGAATCATAATAGTGTAGTCTAAGATTGGTAGAAGGAGCAAGGGGAGGATTTTGAGACATGGGAGGGAAAGAATCCAAACCATAAGCCTCGGTACTTTCCATTAAAAAGTTGGTGGGTCTTTTGGGAAATTCCTGTAATGAATAACCAAGTCATTTGCTTGTCAGACCAGTCCTGAAGAGAAAAAAATAAATGCCAATGAAGACTGCAAAATAGTAAAATCACATGAAGGAAGGCAGTAAGGTGTGTTTTCTTTTCATAATGCCCAGGCTGAGTGTGTGGGTAGATAGTTTTGGTTCTCAAGACTTATCTGGATTGTATGACCCTGCCTTTGCTCTAGAACCAAATCTCACTGGGATCCTCCTAGAAGAAAATTTCACCTAAAGGAGAAATGTTGATAATGTAAATGGCATATTCTGAAGTCCTTGGATTGTGATGTGATTGTCTGAAGCTAACACCTAGGGCATCAAAGACTTAGCCAGGGGCTCCACTCCTGGGGCATGGACAGAAACAAGACATGTGGGCCACCTACTTAAAGCATTATATGAGGCTATCAGCACTGGATTACAAACAAAGGATCAAGAGTAACCCCTTAGTTGTTCTGGCTGCTGCAACACAGTACCATTAAGTAGGTGGCTTAAATAACATTATTTCTCACTGCTCCACAAGCTAGAAGTTCAAGATTAGAGTGCAAGCATGGTTGGGTTTTGGGTCAGGGCCCTCTACCCTACTTACAGAGAGCTTTCTTCTTATATCCTCACATGGGGCTGGGGTATGGGGAGAAGAAGGAAGAGAGAAAACAGGAAGTGAAAGAGAATTCTCCTGTCTTCTTATAAGGGCAATAATCCCATCCTGAGCTCCACCTTCATGAACTGTTACTTCCCAAAGGCCTCATCTCCAAACACCATCACATGAGTGAGTAAGGCTTCATTGTATAAATTTTGGGGAACACAAGTATTTAGCCCATAGCAGGTGACTTTAAATTAATTTTTATCTGGCCTCTAGCCAAGCTCTAAAACACCTAATACAATGCATGTAAGATGAATAGGTCTTTCTTGGGGAAATATGTAATCTACCCTTCTCCTTCCCCTCCAAATATATGTATCAGTTTCTCACCACCATATAATAAAGTCTAAATTTCCCTTTTATTAAAATTTATGTGAAAGCTTCTGCTTGTGTGCTGTATTTTTTTTCTTGTTTTGAAGCTTCAAAAGGGACATGATAAAGTACCAGAGCACAAGTCAGATTATTATGTGCATATTTACTGAATGAAAAAATATATATGCCTATGCACAATTTAAATAGCAAAAAAAAAAAAGAAAAGGAAGAGGAGAAAATAGATGAGTATGAGGAGAAAATAAATATTTCAAAGTCTTTTTCCATGATGCTTAAAGATATTTCTTGTTCTCAGAAGTTTCAAAGCAAGATAGGGCCTTTTCCTTTTTGTGGCTTGAAGCAACTTTCCTGCCAACCACCATCTCTGTCACTAGAAAGCTATGTGCTGGCAAACTGGCCTCAATAGTTCAAGGTTAGAGAACCCCAGCCAACACCCGAGGGTGGGACAGAACCTAGGCGCCAAGGCAGTGTCCTCAGGCTGCTAATTTGCTGGACACATACAGCCCTGTTCTGTAACCTTCCCCTGGATTGTGGGTGAGTGGAAACCATTAACATTTAAAAATATTTGCAGAAATCAAAGTGGGGGGAGGTATTTCTGGAGGGCCAGTACTCAGTGCACTTTTATGCATGCCAAACTTTGCTGGCATGGCTTAGGAGTTGATAGAGAACATCTGGGTGACTGCTGTAGCAGCATATAGATGTGGCTGAGGAAAGGGAACAAAGGGGTCTTGTGAGGGAATGTTGCAGTGGGGGAAATGCTCTCTGTATAGAGGCTTACCTTAATGTCTGTCCTGTGCCAGGGGAGGGGAGTAGGGATAGGAAGGGGAGTTTTTTGCCGTCATGTTGCCCTGGTAATGAATGCTGGAGACTGAGTGGCAGCATAGAACTGGCCTGTTGGGTGCCAGAGATCCTTGTTTCCACTGTCAGACAAGTGTGTTAAGGTCCAAGATGCAACCAACAGCAACCACCATGGATGGCATCCTAATGCTGCCTCTTCTCTGGGAGTTTCTTTGTCTAAATGCAAGAGAAGTGGATATACATTGCCAAGGAGGGAGGGCTCTGCTTTCATTTCAGACACAGTTCTCCTTGCTTCTTCCCTCACCAATCCCATTCATGTGGATACAAGATAGAATAAATTAGATATCAAAAATAGGTATATTTCAAACACGGAAGTGCTCTTATTAACTGGAGGTTAAGATCAGACAGTTGAAAATCTGCCATTTTTAGGAAGAATTTTATATTGGATTCTGATCTGTGCATGACTCAGTTTACCCACCATGAATGTTTTGGCATTTATTAAATCATACCAATGCTGATATAGGATAGGAAACACTATTTTATAGCGGTTCACAAGAATGAATAAACTACTATGCCCTTTACACAGATAGTCCTTGTGACTACAAAGGAGTCTATGTGCTGCAATAAATGTGACATAAGTACTTCATTTACAGTGTCCTCCCTCTCCTCTTTTCTTTGCTTCCAAAAGCTCATTGCTCTCCTCTCACTCTGCTCCAAAAAAACTTTTCCCACATTTTTCATATTACTAAGATCTCTCTTTAAAAATTCATTTAAGAACCCAGACATTAACACTTGAAACTACTAGAGGATTGTGCTGGCAGTGGGTCTAGCACTTCATTCATTCAACAAACATTCATTCAACAAACATTTGTCAAGTGGCCACTGTGCCATGGGCACTAGGGATATCATACTTAATAAGACAGCCCCTGCTTTCCAGTCCTGGGATGCCCAGATGATATACCTACTATTTCAAATAGTAAATTCTGGGTTGCATGAGAACCAGTAGGTAAACCTTACTTCATTCAATGGTCTTTGCTTCCCTGACTTTTTCAATTTTGAATTGACTCTTGCTATTCAGACTGTTCACACTAGTTTTAAACTTATGTTCCCGAGATTACTTGTTCTGTCCTCAAGAAGGTAGTAAAATGGTAAAGTTACTTGAGACTTTGAGTTTTAGGTGCTCTGGTATTCATGATTATATACACTTGTGTTGCTGTGAGTGTGTATTCTGAAATAGACCAATTAATGTTATAGGTTTGGTTTTGGAAAAAGCAATTTTTAATTATTGTTAGTTCTATATTTGTTTAGAATTTGACTGTACTTTAACTTTATGTTGAGAATTACATTTTGCTAGCTGAGCATGGTGGTGCATGCCTGTAATCCTAGCACTCCAGAGGCTGATATGGGAGGATTGCTGAGAGTCCAAGGCCAGCCTTGGCTACATAGTGAGTTCAAGGTCAGACAACTCAATAATTTACATTTTGTTGCTAGTGCTTTTACATTCTTAATTGCTGTTTAATATTTTGAGCTTTTTCTTACTAATAATTTGTTCTGAGACTTTCTTCTTCTCTTTCTTCAAGCAATAAATCAGATACATCTGAATGCCAAGTTTATGGTTGGTTATTTCAATAGTGTTTAGAACTAAAAACCATTGCAAGTTACCTCAGATCTTATCAGGTATTCTCTCTATAAATTATAATTATAGTAAATTGTTAGCCTCTGCTTGACCAATATTTAGTTGATGTAAGCTATGATCTACTTTTTAAGAAAAAAAGTAAATTAATTTTATATTTTGCCATCTTTTTGAAACTATGTGTATGTTAGTGAGAAACTTCACCATGGATTACTAGATCTATTTCCTTTTGAGGTATATGCATATATCCTCTGCCTTTTTTTGGTACTAGGGGTTGAATCCAAGGCCTTACATATGCTGGGCAAATGCTTTGCCACTGAGATACATCCTCAGTTCATGACATATTTTTATGAGTTTACTCATATAAAATGATATTTGTTCCTTAGACAAATATCATTCCTATGTATCTGCATATTTTGAACATAGTTGGTACTTAAATGGAACTTACATTCTGAAAACATCTTAAAAATGAGGAAATCAAATATTAGTCTTAGTCATGTCAGTAGATATAGAAATTGATATCAAAACCATAAAAATATCTCAAATTTATGGACCCTATATTGAGAGCAAATGAGTATGTATATATTTGTTTCTCTCATCCCAAAGTTTTTGGGTCCCTATTATATTATGTGGAGACTAAATGCCAGAAATGATTCATTTACTCCAAAGAAAATATAAAAATTATCATCAAATCCAGGAGTGCTTCTCTGAAATCATAATCATGAAGAAAATAATTAAATGTAGACTAAAGCCTTTGAAGAGTCTATTCCTTCTATATTTTCTTCATCAAGCTCAACATAATGAGTCCTCTCAAATTAATCCTCCATTCAAGAGTAGTTCTAGGACCACAGCTGTGCAGGGACATGCAGATACCAGCCAGGACCCCATCTTGAAAAGAGTTGTACAGGCGCACAAGCAAGAGCCATAGTCCTACCCAGATTCCATTAGTAAGTGCATGCAGATCCCAGGAAGAAGCCTGTGTGAACCAGAGCTGCATGGGGGCACACAGAGCCTAGCTAGGGCCCCACCCAGATAACAGCAGCTTGGGCCCATAGGTCCCAGCCAAAGGCCTGCCTGGAAAAGGGCAACACAGGTGGGCAAGCAACAGCCAGAGGCCTGCCCAGATACCATTGGTAAGTGTGTTCAGACCCCAGCCAAAAGCCTGGTCAGACACAAGCGACTCATATGCACGGTTGCCAGCCAAGGCCCTCCCAGACAAAAGTTATGCAGGGCACAGGTGCCAGCCAAAGGGATGCCCAGATACCTTCCCAAGAGTGCACAGCCCACAGCCAGAACCCCACCTGGAGAATAGGGCAGAGCAGAGATCCAGAAGGACACCATTCTGAACCCAGGAATTAGAGCAGTGGTAATCAGCAGAGAAAAGACTTCTTGGTGGCTTGTTGAGAATTGACCACTGGGCAAGCAAAAAGTCACTTCAACAAAGGTGCAGCAGGCTGCATCTGTTGAGATGAGAAGACACATAAACAAGTCTCAAAACCAGGCATCCACATCACCAAAGGCAATCCCCAAGGGCAACAAGATGAAACAATCTGACACTCAACCACCTGGACTCTCTGAACTGGCAATGAAACAGGATCCAGAAAAAATGGAATCAGAAATAATTTCTCAGATAACAATAGAGATTGTGTCTGTGGTGGAAGACATGATTGATAACTTTAGAGCAGACACATAAAAAAATAGAGGCACTGAGGAACATGATAGAAGCCCAGCATAGGAAACAAATGGAAGCCATAAAACAGATGCAAACAGATAATCCAGGAGATTAAAAACTCCATTGATAGTTTACACAGCAGAATAAGCCACTGTGAGGACAGAATATCAGAAAAAGAAGAGAGGATTGCAGTTAGTGAATAGGAAAAGAAAAATTGCTTAAAAATATTAAGGGACTAGGAGAAATCAGTCCAGCAGCTGCTAGATGATGCAAAAAAGACTAATGTATGACTGATAAAAGTCAATGAAAAAACAGGAGAGAGTGCAAATGCCAAAAAACTATTCAGAGAAGTAATGGCAGAAAACTTCCCAAGCAGGGGAAAACAACTTGACATACAGACAAGTGAGGGATATAGGACTCCCAACTAGCCATGATAAAAAAAAATCTACACCTGCACATATAATAGTTGAGATTCCAGAAACCCAACAGAAAAATAAAATTCTACAAGCAGTTAGAGAAAAGAAATAAATCACTGCAAAGGAAATGCCATCAATCACAGCAGACTTCTCAACACAAACCCTCAAGGCAAGAAGAGCCTGTAATCAAGTATTTCAAGCCATAAAAGAAAACAACTTCCAACTCAGATTGATGTACCCTGCAAAACTATCTTTCAAAATTGATGGAGAAATAATATACTTTCTTGAAAAAGAGCACCTGAGGAACTTCATATATACTAAGCCAGCCCTCAAAAAAAAATTAAACATTATCCTAGGAAGAGACAATGAGGATCACAACCTCAGGAAGCCCAGCACAATAAATCCATCAGGTATGACAAGAAATTGAATGCAAAGGGGGAGAATCCAACAAAACAAAAATGGCATAAAAGGATAATATAT